AGATTTTCTATCCGACAGATACTTCAGGGTTCGTGTTGGGGAAGACCACTCATTAGATAAGCCAGTCAAGAGTGGAGTTCCACAAGGATCAGTACTTGGACCGCTACTTTTTTGTGTCTACACTAGTGATCTTCCGCTCATTGTATCCAGTAAGGTTTCCATTTACGCTGATGACACTAAGTTATATGTGAATCCAACTATTAACCAACATATTCTTCAACAAGATCTTGACGCAATATTCAAATGGTCCTCAGAATGGTTACTTCCGCTTAACATTGAAAAATGCGTTGTTTTACATATCGGCAAAAATAACCCATCACTTCCGTACTTTATTAATGGACATCCTTTAAACTCTGTAACCTCACACAACGATCTCGGAGTGATAATTAATAGTGACTTAAATTGGTCTGATCACATAGTGTCGGTGTGTAAACGTGCTAACTCGAAACTGTTTTTGATTCGTAAGTGTTTTGCACGCATATCTCTAACCTCTGTTAGTAAACTTTACTCAATATACGTTAGACCTATTCTTGAGTTTGCCGGACCAGTGTGGAATCCAGATCTTAGTCGCGATAAAATCCTACTTGAAAATGTTCAGCGTAAAGCCACAAGACTGGCATACGGCCGTGTAAGACCTAACTATGAAGATAGACTATTCATGGCTCATCTTACGACATTCGAGCAGCGACGTCTTCGAGGTGACCTAATTATGTCCTTCCGTATTTTAAAACATAATTTTGGGAACCTAAACAACATATTTACTTTGAATGAAGACGATAGATTAAGAGGCCATCAATACAAATTAAAGAGGGAACAAACTACTGCAAGGTCCAGGGCGAACTTCTTGCCAAACAGAATCTTTAATATATGGAACAATTTGGATCAAAACACCATATCGGCAGCTAGTGTTAACATCTTTAAAAATAAACTTGACAGCACTTTATTTTTTTTATAGGATAGGATATTTTTTCTCGGACAGCATTATTTATTTATTTATTGTGTCACAATTCAATTTTCGTTAATTGTTTAACTACTTAACTTTATAATTAGTATTAGTTTTATAAGGATCTATTTTATTTTTGTTTATTTTTGCTTTTTGGGCATAATAGGAGCTCGCTCCTCTGCCCTTATTTGTTATATAATAATAATAATAATAATAATAATAATATTCTATACATTTCTATATGGAGAAGTCTTTGAGTTGTGGGCCTTAAAGAAGGTATTACAGATACACTTTTTCTTAAGTTGCCTCTTCTTTTGAAGATTAGCGACATCCTGATTATTTGAACTCTGTTCACTACAGCTCTAAAAAGCTAGTTAAAAGAGAAATTTAACCACTGTCTGAGATTGCGCAACCATCAAATTCGCCTTCGAATGGTACACTTTTCCTAAAGTATCTCACTAAATGATATTCTGCGAAATCTGGCATTTTGTTCCTCTCATTACTTGGCCAAGGATTAAGTTTTGTTTGTTTTAAAAGCATTCACAAGACTTCTTCATTCGTGAGTTTGTCTAAGTAAGATATTCTTAGAATTTTTTTGTTAAATCACATCTTGAAAACTTCCTCGCTTGTCTAATAGCTTTTGTTTCAAAATTTGTCATCATTTGGCCAGACCTTTTTTTGGTAAATACTTTTTCATAATCTAGAAAGCAGGCATGCACATCTTTATTGACTCCGAACATCGTTGTGTTAATAAGTTTAAATAGAATAAGGGAAAGTAGCCTAATTTCGGATACCATTTACAATTAGTGTCATATTTTTCACCTAATAACACATTTTAAACTTTTATCTACTCAAGAGTACTTGCAGAGTAATATAGAAACTAATTTTATTATCATAGACAATTTATTGAAAATCTTTTTTACAAAAAATATTGTTCAATAAAATTAGTGCTTTTGTATGTCAAAAATTTTAGGGCTCCTAATTTCGGATACCCTATCCGAAATTAAGACACCATTTTGTTCATCATAAGAATAGTTACACATCTTGACAAAAGTCGCAAATATAGGTTTTCTTCTTATCAGCATTGGCGCACATCTCATGACACCACTTGAAGCACTTTATATACCTTATCCACTTCTCACCGTGTGTATCTTCGGAATATAAACTGTCACAAAACATACATTCTGTGTCTCCATCTTCATCGTCTACATCCATATCAGAATCATCATCCAAAATAAGGTCATCACCAGCATGTGAAGTGTCGCTACTACTCGATTAAATTTTTTTCTTTTGCTTTTTTTGGCGTGGAGTTTTTTTTCTGTTGACTTGATTTAATTCGTTGCTTATTTTTGGTTTCTTTTCTTTCAAAGACTTTTTTCTTTCTTGATCGGCTACACTTCGTTCAAGTTCATCTTTATAAGGTGTACTAGTTATTATCCAACTAGAACCTTTTCGAGGATTTTTTTGTTTGTTTGTTTGTGAGGTATAACTGCAAGAAGGCAGTGGACTAATATCCTCAGCTCTTATCATAGTTGCCGTAGTTTCAGTTGCATTTCCATTGGATGATTTATTTGTTAAGTTATGTTTTGGAGGTGTTCTTTCGATAATGCTTTGTGGTTCTGGTCTTGACTGACCTCTTGTTGGTAATACTTCCCCATGATTTTGATTTATGGGTGGTGGTGTTCTTTCTCTTTGTCTCTCCATTATAAAATCGTGATCAGAAAAGTTATTTTTATTAAAAGGATATATTCCAGATTTGCGAAAACCATTCGCGGAAATTTCTGCAGTAGCACTTTTCAAATATGCCGGGCACATAAGCTTACAAATTTGATACGAGTTTATGGTGCGTCCAGGATTTTGCCTTAACCACATCTCAATTTGTTGCGAAATAATATGTTTTAAATGGTGACATAAAAGACAAATCTAGAGGTTGTAGTTTGTGTGAACTGTGCGGCGGGATACACAAAATTGTAACGAAATTTGCACGTCCTGCTTCTATCACATCTATATTTCTTGTGTGGCTGTAGTGACCATCAAGAATAAGCGGCACTGGGTCTTCACGGGATGGTTTCACGTGAGCTACGAAATGCTGTAGCCATTGGGAAAAAATGTGCTGCTGAATCCAACCTGATGGATGGCAAGCTGCAATAGAGCCAGGCGGCGATCCATCTAATAATTCCACTTTCATGTTCTTTCTTGGAAACACGAATAATGGAGGGACAAACCCACCAGCAGCATTCATACAAAATACAACAGTAACTAATGCGCCTCTTTCAGTCGCGGTAACAGATCCAACCTGTTTTTTTCCTTTTAATGTTATAACACGAGTATTCTTGGACTGAACCGTTGTTATGCCGCTTTCATCAACGTTATAAACTCTTGCGGGGTTGAAGTTAACTTTTTCCATTGACGTTTCTAAAAGATCATAGAATCTGCTGACATTTTCTAGGGTAAATCCCTTAATTCGGGCTTTCGAGATTCCTTGTGGTTTTCTAAGGGACAAAACTGCGTTTCGCCTCATAAATCCCCTTAACCATTTTTTACCGGCAGATTCGGCATGGGCAAATGGATGACGAAGACCATTTCGTAAAGCTATTTGATATGCAAGTCTCTTGATATCAGCGGTCCCAATTCCGTAAAATCGCCGGTCCATTTCTAGGCAATACGAGACTAAATCAGCTTCCATTTCTGCAGAAAGTACTGGTCTTCTTCCAATTTTAACAGCAACCAACTGCTCCGGAGTTTTATTTTCTTGCTTAACATAATCTTCCAGAGTTGATTTCGGAACAGCAAATAACTTCGAGGCTTTAAGATACCCCATTTCCTTTCCCCTGACGGCACGGATAGCACGTATCATTCGGTCTGGATCCCATTGTTTATGTTTTTTACTTGTTTTTGGCATTTTCTTCTGAAAAGAAACAAAAGTTTTTATGCTAACATGATCATCAATTTAAGGTTCCTAATTTCGGATATCCGAAATTATGGGACTTGTACTATCCGAAATTAGGAATTTTTTATTTTTAAGGTTAGGGCTCTCTAATTTATATGTGATTAAAATCTGCTTTAAATTAGTAGCAAAATCAAATAAACCAGGTTTCTAGCTTACCTCTGCCAAAAGATCAAACTTCAAACAGGAATAAAAACACGAAAAAAGAGGCTTTGAAATACGACCGAAAAAAAACTGCACAATAACGTTTGGTGGTTTCGGCACTGCCATCTAACGGGGAGCAGCTCTACTACCTAAACAATTTAAGATAATGTTCTCTGTGGTATTCAGCGTGACATACGTATAGGTTTCTGTTCGCAAATAAAGAAACTTTTTTAGATACACCGCTATCCGAAATTAAGACACTATCTGAAATTAGGCTACTTTCCTCTATAGCTTCTCTTTTTTCCATTCTATTGCGAAATCCGAACTGTGTGTTACTAATTCATTGTATCATTTAACTATTGCTCTATGACATTTACATATTTAAGCGTTGTTTTTTTTTTAGGAATTATAATAAAGTCTGGCAATAATTCAGTGTTTCTCCATCCGGTTTCATTGGCCTTATTAAAAAGTTCGGTAAGTACATGTATACTGTATTCATTTAACACCTTAAGTAGTTCAACAGGTATCTCTTCCAGACCAAGACCCTTACGTTTTTCATACTCTTGAGCGCGTGTAATACCTCTTTATTTGTTATCATTGGTCTGCTGTCTGATATTATATCTGGTAATATTGGTCCGCTGTTGGCTTCTAATATTTTTGTACCGAGTCTTTTATTTTAAAGGCCTTCTATATATTCTTTTCATGTTAAACTTTTTCCCCTATATATAGCTGACCGCTTCCTGTTAAGATAACTGCAACTAGTAAGGGTGATAGACACAATGATAAAAAAAGCTTGAACTAAGTTTGCTGAGCTAAAGAACCTCTTAAGCCCAACAATGCAAGAGATAATAAGTTTTGATGAGTTCCATCGATAGAAGCACAAAAAACTAAGCAGCATAATTCTGGCCAATACATAAAGACTTCTTCTTCTTCGCGTGCCATATCAGAATTATCCGAAGTTGGCGATCACCATCACGAAAGCTTCTCGATCTTCTGCAATATGGAATAATTATCCTGCATTTGGTATCTGAGTCCATTCACGAATGTTTTTTAACCAAGAAACATGTTTTCTTCCTTCACCTCTACGGCCCTCTATTCTGCCTTTAAGGATCAGTTGTAATATTTTATATCGAGTTTCCCTTGCTATATATCCCAAATAAGACATTTTTCGATGTTTAACAATCTTTAGCAGTTCTTTATCTTTGTTGATGCTTCTTAGTACTTCTTCATTAGTTTTACTTGCTGTCAAAGGTATCTTCAGCATTCGTCTATGAACCCACATTTCCAATGCTTCAATTTGGTTTATGATCGATACTTTTAGCGTCCACACTTCTGCAATATACAAAAATTCGGACCAAACATAGCACTTAACCATTCTTCTAAGCTGAGATGGTTATTGGTAAGAAATGACTTCATTTTCGTAAAAGTAGTTTTAGTCATTGCTATTCTACGTTTTATTTCTATGTCTGGATCTAGTTGGTCCGTTATCACAGTTCCAAATATGTCATTTTGTGAACTTTCTCAACTTGGACTCCGTGTAATTGAAGCTTTGCATCGGGATGTGGGTCACGACTAAACACTAAAAATTTTGTTTGGTTTGAGTTTATTTTAATGCCCATTTTCTCTTCTACCTCTCGAATATGATTTTTCTTCTATATGGTTGTCTCTCAAGTGCCTTTTTAAATAACCGGTCCGAGTAAACATTGAACAATGTTTGCGATAAAATGCAAAGTTGTCCCACTCCTCTTTGTATAGAGATTTCATCGGTGTAGTTATCGCCAATTTTGATAGCCAACGATAGCACTTTGATTTCAGTACAAATTTTAATGACACGAATATCCTTGTCATCTATTCCGATATTTTTTGTTATTTGTATTCATTTTACATGCTGTACTTTATCGAATGCCTTTTTAAGTCCACGAAACATGCAAATACATCTGTTCTTTAGTCACGGCATTTTTGTTTACATAAAGACTAGATAAGTTTATAGCTCTATCAACAAAAGATATCCCATAGCACTGATATAGTTTGCTAATCGATGTTTTATTTTTAAAATGCCTTAAAAAAATTAAAAAAAAAACGGCTTCTGCATGTGCTGATCGGGTTAGGATATCATTTTAATGTTCTTGTACCCAGAACTTACATACGACAAGCACTTTGCTAATAGAGAGCCACTATCGCGCAAGAACCTGAGGGCATTCTTTTATTAAACTGATTGGATCTAACAAAAAAGGTATGTAATTATCAAAAATGGAAAATAACATAGGCGAAAAGACAAATACAAAAATTAATTCTATCTTGCACATCGCTTAAAAATTTGTAATTAAAGTAACCTCTTGCCTTTACTAGCTTAAGTTGGCGAGGTTAAACTGATAAACAATTCAAGCAAACGTTTTAAAATAGATTTACCAAGATACGATAATATAGGCTATGAAAAACACTAATTATTAATTTTGGAGTTTAGAACTTAAAAGCAAAGCTAAAAATAAATGAAATATTACACGAAATAAGAACATTAAACATGGTATCATACTAATCACTGGCACAAATGTTTTGTTACAGAGTTTTAAAATAAAAAGACGTTTTGATTTAAGAATAACAAGTCATACCGCTTATATTTACTAAGAGGTATCCCATTAGAGGGATCTCACGTATCCGATTCTGATGACAACGAGGATGAAGATATCGACATGTCTTTACCAGGTGTTGCTTAAGATGAACAAAACGATATTTCAGACAATAAAGATGTTGTGCATGATAGTGGCTGTGATGGTAAAGACGAAGTATCAGTTGTTATTCTTGATCTCAACTCCGTCTTTCCCAGAAAACGTTGGACCAAATGTTTTTGATACTCCTCTTGATTTCTTCGTTCACTTGTTTAGTTTGAACCTGTTGAATACACTTGTTTTTTAAACGAATTCATACGTAGAGTTTTGGGGGTAAACATTTGGAGGCGAGTAAGAAAGTTATAGAAAGGCCTAGTTATAGAGATTTCTGGTCTGTCAATTTTGCTCTCAGGAATCAGCTTATTTTTTTATGTATATCGCGTGACAGGTTTGGATTATCGCTTACTCATCTTCACATAAATGATAATTCATTAGTTTACTTTACCTAAGAAATCTAATTGCGATTATGATAAACTCTACAAAGTGCGGTCATTGCTAGAGGAACTTTTAACCACGTACATAAGTTCATTTTATTCCAGCAGGAAACAATCAATATCAATAGACGAATCGATAATACGGTTCAAGGGACAAAGTAGTTTACGTCAATCAAGCCCATAAAAAGGGGTTATAAGGTATGGGTACGTGCTGATCAGTCAGGATATGTTTTACAATTCCAAATATACACTGGAAAAGCAAAAGATCCAAGGGAGCAACACATCGGGGCAAAAGTAATATAAAATCTTACAAGAGATTTAGTTTAAAAAAATAATGAATTTTATTTCGATAACCAGTTTAATTCTGCTGTATTACAACGCAACTTTAAACGCAACGTTAAAAGACAAGATCTACGCATGTGGAATAGCTTAAAAAGATTGTAAACGTTTTTCAAATAAACTTAAAATAAATAAAAATAAAGGGGCGACTCAAACTGAAGAATGAGTAAAGATGGCTAGCTTTGCAATGGATGGATAAAAAACTAAAAAATTTTTAGAAACCTGAAGAAATTGTCATTGTAAAGAGAAAAGAAAAGCATAGGACATCAGTAAAAATTAATTACAAACAATTAGTATAAGATAAGAACAAGTAAGAAGACTCAATAAAAACTGGATAAGAGCGGCGCAAGATAGACGGGGTTGGAAACATGAGAAAGAGGCCTATGTTCAGCAGTGGACTCTTGAGGCTGGATGATGAAGAACAAGTATAAACAAGTATATGGACTTTGTAGATAAGTCTTGCTACGAATTGGATAGAAAATAGAAAAGTTGCGGCAAAGAAATTTTTTCCATTTTGTTGACCTAACATTACTAAACTTATATATAATTTTTTACTCTTAATAGCTGATACGGTAATGTTTTTGAAACATTTTAAACTTGCTGTAGCCATCGGTTCGATTGGAGCAGACCCTTAAATGCCTAAATTTGGAAGAAGAACCATAGACAAACCAAGCACCAGTAACAGGTTCAAAAAAACAAGTTCCTCTAGAAATAAGAACTGAAAAAGCAGCGCATAAGCCACTGCATGAAGCCCAAGTACGTTGTACATACTGTAGAACCAAGGCAACTTCCCATCGTATACTTATCTCTAAAAAATTGTTTCATTTCATTTCACGCTAAATAATTATTTCGTTGTGGCCTACTGGTTCCACAGGGTAAAATTTTTACTAATTACAAAAAAAAAAATTAAAAAAACTTTATTTTGTCCTAATATGTCCCAAAAACATATTATTCACTATTTAATATAGACAAAAAAGTCCTTCCACAAAGGGTTAAGAGAGCGGAAATGTATTTCTGCAAACTTTCAACAAGAAAATCGAGTGTGAAGGAAGCAGCAAACAACAGAATTAACTAAGGATACACTAAGAGGTACGTAGCAGAATACATTAGTATTAAATAACAAGTATGGAAGAACTCCCCGTCTTAGTTAAAAAGAAAGCATTAATCGAGAAGAATAAGAGGTAGATATTTAGAGAAAGTCTAAAATGAAGATCGACTGGGTATGAAAAAGTAGAGAAAAAAGGTTTTTTTAATTAAATATGTTAATATTAATTTAACAGATAAATAGTCAAAATTAGCGGATAATGCGAAAAGCTACTGAGGACTGGAACGGTGGCATCACCATTGGCGGGAAGAAGATTTGCAATTTGAGATATGCAGATGATACTACTATCCTCGCTAGTTCTGAAGCTGAATTGATTCACCTACTACAACGGATAGAAACCGTAAGCTTAACGATGGGTCTTAAAATAAACAGAGATAAAACGAGAATCACGATAATTGACAGAGCTAACAACAATCAAAATCATCTGGTCATGATAAACAATATCGCTGTTGTAGATAAATTTGTGTATCTTAGCTTATTAATAACCAACAAAGGAGGCTGTACTGAAGAAATAAAGCGGCGGTCAGCAATCGCAAAAAGCGCTATGGCAAAATTAACAAAAATTTGGAGAAGTCATGAAATAACTACCGATACAAAAATGAGACTAGTAAGAAGTCTAGTTTTTCCAGTTTTTACTTATGCATCGGAATGCTGGACCCTTACTGAGAAAGACAAAAAGAACATAAATGTATTTGAGATGTACTACTATAGACGAATGCTGAGAATACCATGGGTGGCCCAAAGAACAAATGAATCCATACTGGACCAGCTAAACATAAAGAAAAGACTAAGAACACAAGTATCAGAACAAATAATAAGCTACTTTGGACATGTGTTTTGAAGAAATGGTCTTGAAAAACTTACCATCCAGGGAAAAGTAGAAGGCAAAAGAAATAGAGGTAGATCTCCCACACGATACACGGACCATATTGTTGCTATCATTGGCGCCCCATTCTCAGAATGTGCTAGAATGGCAGAAGATAGAAAAACGTGGACGAACATTGGGAAATTTAGCTTATAGCTTCATGATATCACGTTACCTGCATCAGGTTAACGACTAAGAAGAAGAAGTCAAAATTTATTTAAATTAATAAGGCATTGCTCTGAACTTTTCTTTTAAAAAATTGCGAGAATATTGTAAACCTCAGAATTGCTTATTCTTTAGTTTTATTTATGAATTAATCGTTTTTTTTTCTATCCAACAAATCAAAAGTTTAAACTTACCACGTAAAGCATATAAAGTTTTATTGTCCGCCCTTTATACCTATCGGAGTAAAGTTGATGATAAATGAGACCACCTAAAGTATGTATTAAGTCCCTAACTATCTGATGGCTTTGAATTTACTGGCATCGCTTGAGACTAGAGTGCAGTTACTTGTAAATTAGCTAATTAGCTATTGCAGAATGAAGTTTCCAGTTACGAACTTGCAAGTGAGGATTTGTAAAGAGAACTGTATGAAGGTGTTTCGTATTATGTGGAGGGTATCAATTACTCCTGCGTTTTACGGAATATATGCAAAATGATGACTGTAAAATACCACAACTTGAAAGACTGGAGCCAAACAGTTTCGTATAATGGTTTTCGATTCAATGTATCGTGGAAAAGTACCTGACCATAGCCGTACAAATCGTTTCTTTTTTTCGTATAAGTATTTTTCCAATCGTTGTTAGTATAATACAGGTGTTTCTTTAAGAATTGTCCATATAGTCACTGGGGATGCCGTAGCATAAAATACGAAGATTTAACCTAAAACACTTCAATCAAATATACCTCCTTACCTACCTCCAAAGTGTTTTATTTATAGTGTTTTAAGATGATCTTAGCCCATTGTTTTAACATCTTCCAATATTTTTTGTCTAAACTTAGACTCTGTTGCCAGAGACGTGCTGTAGAGATAGATACTTCCTTTTTCTTCCTTATAATCTACGCCACTGTCATAATATTCATGTCAATATGTTTTTTTGATTCTTTTTCCTTTTCTTTTACGTAAATATTTTCTTTTGTCTCAATGCAATAGAGTTAATAGTTTTTAAGTCATTCGCATTTAAAGGTAATGTTTAAAATGCATAATGTTATTTTATTGCTAACATCCATTTCACACAAGACATAACTATCTTACTAATAAAGTTAAACAATTTAGTAGATTCAGTAAATTATATTTTAAATGAATTTTTCATAATAATTTGTTAGTTCATAAAAAATCAGAACTATGAATTTTATTATACTAAAACAATGTGTCTTGGTAAGTTTTCGGATCAAGCTTGTTGATTAAATGATGGTTACTTAAGACAAAACAACTTATAAAATATATTTATTTAGACTACTATAACAATAAATCAATTTAATAAAATTTCAAAGTCGCCTCTGATCATTTCAATGCATTTTTAAATGATATATTAGACAGATT